CCCGGGTAAGTGAGGTGTAAAAGTCGATACCTTCGAAAAGGGAATCAATTTCCATAGAAGTTTGTGCAGATGCTGAAAGGGTACGCTTTGCACGTTCGCACGCAGTTCGGAGACGGCGTAAAGCACGTGCATTAGTAGTGAGATCCTTCTTGAATTTTCGTTTAAATTCTTGGACAAAGTGATTCACGAGACGATTATCAAAATCTTCACCACCAAGATGGGTATCACCAGCAGTCGCCTTTACTTCAAATATTCCTTCCTCAATAGTTAGGAGAGATACATCAAAAGTACCACCGCCCAAATCGAAGATGAGAACGTTACGTTCTCCAGCTGCCTTCTTATCCAAACCATATGCGATAGCAGCCGCCGTTGGTTCGTTGATAATACGAAGGACATTTAATCCAGAGATCATACCAGCATCTTTAGTAGCTTGACGTTGTGAGTCGTTAAAATAAGCAGGCACTGTGATTACGGCATTCTTGACTGGTGTACCGAGAAAAGCTTCTGCTGTCTCCTTCATTTTAAGTAACACCATTGAAGAGATTTCCTCAGGAGTGAATTGTTTTGTTTCGCCCTTGTATTCAACTTGGATATATGGTTTTCCATTTTTGTCGATAACTTTAAATGGCCAATGCTTTTTTGTGAAAAAAGAAAAGAAAAGAAAAGAAATTGTTAAGTAAACAAGATGTTTCGCGATGAAAGCTAATGGATATCATATTTGTGTCACGATACTAGAAGTTAACAATTTTTAAAGGAAATTCTTACCTTCATGTCGGACTGTACTTCCTGGTCATTAAACCGACGACCAATAAGACGCTTAGCATCAAACACGGTATTAAAAGGATTCATAGCGACTTGATTTTTTGCCGCGTCACCAATCAAACGTTCCGTATCGGTAAAGGCAACATATGAAGGTGTTGTTCGATTACCCTGGTCATTGGCAATAATTTCAACTCTGTCATTTTGCCATACACCCACACATGAGTATGTCGTTCCCAAGTCAATTCCAACTAAAAGCAAATCATCATTTTCGTATTTAGTAAAATAAAATAATAATAAAAAAACATCGATAATTAAATTATAAATAAAAGCATACCAGCTTTTCCTCCTTCTGTCATCTTTCAAAATTTAAATACTTGTAATTTCACTTCTGTAAAAAATATCTCTATGAATATATAATAAACGGTTTCTTTTTGAAAGATTGATGCAGTAATTTTATTTTACTTTTTTTTTTTTTTTTTTGATAAACTTATTTAATCGTTTTTTTTTTTTTATTTTTTTTTTTG